ATAAAATCCTACATCAAACTTCAAGTAAACAATCATCCAAACCCAACCATGGTACTCTTAAGCCTTGAAACCCTCTAGTTTGAGAGAAAATTGACACCCATTGCCATGAAAATTTGAAGAAATTTTGTGTTCTTGGAGTTGTTGCTCAAGCCATTGCTAGAGTATTACTTGGTGGAGTCCTAGGCCTTGATTGTGGGTAAGTTTCAACACATTTCATTGGATAAATTTGTTGGATTGGATTTCATGAACCTAGAGCATGTGTTGTGTGATTGATGTGGTTGGGGACCTCAAGTTGAGCTCATAAAAATTATTGATGAAAAGTATGATAACTTAGGCAAATTTTGGGGTTGATATGCAAGACTTTATGAATTGGAATTGTGTTGAGATTGTATAATTAAGTTGTGGAGAAATTGTATGGATTAATTATAGGATTGTAAGATGTGTGGAAGTGTTGAATTGAATTAAAAATCCCTTGGTATGGAGGCATGTAGATTTCGGCCAAGTGAGGGAAAAATGGGGAAGGATGTTGTAAATTCATATGATTGGTGTTGTGCGTTTTTGAGCTAAGTTTAAATAGGTTGTATGTTGGTGTGATGCATTTGACTTGGAAGAAAAATCATTGGAGGTGTGTGAATGCTTGAATTCGACCTAGAGGAGTAACTTTAGGAAAAATGGTGTGAGTTGTAATAGAATAGAATTAAAGACTTGAATTGGTGTTGTGGTGAGCTTGGAAAGACATAGGAACCTTGAAAGAAAATTAACTACATGGTTTGGTAATTAAGGCCTTGATGTCCGAACCTATGTGTGGGTGTTTAGGTGTGTTTGCTTTGTAATTCAACTTGATTAAAATTGAATTGATGATCCTTGTGTTATCATTGTCGGTTGCCTCCCACAGACGTGATCTTTGAGCAGTGAGTTTTGTGGGTTTCCTTTGGTCCTTGACCAAAAGGATTGTGGTAAGTTTAACACTTTTTATTCTAAATCATATTATTATATTATAATATGTGGATTAAAGGGTAGGATTAGTGAAAATCCAGAATTAGGGGTCAAAATACATAAAAAGGGTAAACAGTAATTTGACAAACACATAAACCTAGGAAAGGAAATTTGAGTAGAATATCTCAAATGGAAAAACTAACCATGAAAATGGATTCAGAACGAAAAATTAAGTGGTTAGGCAAGTTTTTGAAAAATTGATGAATAGTGTTTTTACCGAGTAAAAATACCGCGGAACAGTTAAACCGTAAAGCGTATCGAATGAATTTTGAGCTCTAGGTTTGGATATAAGTTATAAATGGTACATAGGACTAGGAAATGTGATTTCTGGTGAAAATTGATGGAAATTAGGGTTTTTGGGGAAGCGTGCCCACAACGCGCATAACAGCTTAAAACTGTGATTTCTTCGAACGATTAGAAAACTTCGGATCCATCTAATCAAGGAAAATTAAAGGACAATGGTTAATGTTAAAAATTAGAGTTTCTAAATAGTTTAGGAAATTATGGACGTTTAGTGAAATAAGCGAGATATTTGAATTAATTTGAATTGCGTGAGGTAGTGGGACCCACCCTATTTAAGTGACCTTTAAACACATGTGCAAGTGCACTATTCATCATCATCTTCACCTTCTCTCTCCAAACTCGAGTTGCCCCCCCCCCCTTTGTGCAAGTTTTTCTTTGAAAATTCATTTGCTCATAACTCACTCAAATCTCCACCGAAACGCAACTTCAACTACATCAAACTTTAAGTAAACGATCATCTGAACATAACCATACCATCCACGAGCCTTGAAACTCACTAAATTAAGAAGAGAAATCTCCCATATACAACAGCGACCAAGTGAAGGTTTTTGGTATTCTTGTAGCTGATTGATCCTCCAATGCTTTGGTATGTTGTGGAGGAGTCATAGGCTTTGCTTGTGAGTAAGTCTCCACACTTTTGATTGGTTGAATTGATGGATCCAAATTCATGAACCCTAGAGCTTGCATTCTTGATTGATGTAGTTAGAGAGCTCAAATTGAAATTGTGTATTAGATAAAAGTGGCTTAGAATGATGTTTTAGAGTGATAGAAACCATAAAAATTATTGATGAATTTGGTTGATAACTTAGGAAAATTTTGAGTTGGGATATCAACACTTTGTGAAATTGATATGTTGGATGAGTGTGTAATGGGGTTGTGGAGTGTTTGTATGAGTAAATTATAGGATTGTAAGGTGTGTAGAAGTGTGAAATTGGATTGAATACCCTTAGGTGTAGGGACATGATGAATTCGGCCATGTGAGGGCTTGTGGGGCTTGATGTTGTAAAAATTGTATAAATGATGTTGTGTGGTTCTGTATGGTATTTAAATGAGTTGGATGTTGGTTGGATGCATGAGGTTTGAGGGTGAAACCATTAGATAGGCATAAGTGTAGGAATTGGCATAAAAGAGGATAATTGGAAAAATGGTGTTGTGATGGGGTTGGATGGAAAATGGGACTTGAAATGGTGTTGTGGTAACCTTAGAATGCTAATGGTAAATTAAAATAAAATTAAGAAAATTGTTTGGTAAATTGGGCCTTAGTGGCCGAAGCTATGCACGTGGGGAGTGAGATGTTTTGGTGCTTTGTAATTTTGGTTAATTGCACCGCGAGCTAGGGGGCAACTAATCTGGATAAAATATAGTAGGCCCGCTAGAGGTCCAAAAACATACGAACGAAGCCCAATCTCACGAAGGCCCAAAGTTAGGCGCGATGGCTCCCATCGCGCATAACATGACGCGATGCCCCCATCGCGCATGAAACCGTCCTTTAGCATAACTTCAGAGGCAAGAAAGCTATCTCAAGAGCTAATACAAACTCACCGCGCCTTTGTACTAATAAACAAAGGACAGCACCAGCTTCCCGCTATTCTATCAAAATAGTCTGACATTAAGAGATAAGGCTATAGCCAAACCTGCAGCCCATGAATGGCCAATCAGAGGCCATACCGCCTTCTGAAGACGGCATCAGAACCACTATATAAACAGAGGGTACATGCCAGGTATGATAATCTAATTCAGTAAGAATACACATACACCTGCAACTGATACCGACTTAAGCTTCAGAGTGTCATTGCAAGTACCCCCCCTCCAATGTCAACCATCGCGCCAACTAAGGACTAGAGGCTTCACATCATCTTCAACAACCTTCAGCCCAAGAAGCGAAGCAACCTTATCACTTCAACCGTGTGTGATTAGGCCCAGTACACATTGGCCTGTCCTTAGTGTATTTGGTCTGATCATTGGCGCCTTCTGTGGGAAAATACTTCTCAAGGAATAGTCTAGACATCTCAGCCCAGCTTGCAATGGATGAGGGTGGCAGGTAATACAGCCAATCCTTATCTCCACCATCCAAGGAGAATGGAAAAGCCCTCAATTTGACATGTTCTTCATCAACTCCTTGCGGTTTCATTGTGCTGCAGACTACATGAAACTCTTTCAAATGCTTTTACGGATCTTCACCTGCAAGTCCATGAAACTTGGGAAGCAAATGGATAAGACCAGTCTTAAGTTTAAAACCAGTATCAAGATCAAGATAACGAATGCAAAAAGGCTGATAGTTAACATCAGGTGCAACCAATTGCCTTAAGCTTCTATTATCCATTTTTTTTTGGTTTTTTTTTGAATTAATGACCGTACTACTAGAAAAAGTAAAATCTACTCTATTAAAAAAATTATATTTAAACTACAATAAAAATTAACCAAAATAAAATTAGAAACACTATTGAACAATTTTTAAAAAAATTATGGGACCACCACACACAAAGTTTTATCCTATCCGAGAACAGAAACAACAAAAATAGAAAACGAAAACGAAAACTGCAGAAAATGATTTTTATTTTTAATTTATTTTTTTTAATTTTTTTAAACAGAAAACAAAAATTGCAGAAAACAAATTTTTATTTTTATTTTATTTTATTTTATTTTTTTAAAACAGAATTAGAAAAATGAAAATTAAAACAAGTCGAACAAGAAAACACAAAAATTAGAGAAATAAAAGGGAAAGAGAAAGAACGCTATTGACGTGCAGATTTCCCGGCAACTGCGCCAAATTTGACGTGCGCTGTCGAACCCACGCAATTTACCAAGCTTAGATTTGTAGTGATAGGGCAACTCGGATCGTCTCCCAAAGAACCTGCTAGAAATCAGAAACGTTCTGTAAAATAAAATATAAAAGGGAAGGGAGATTTTGTTGATTTGAAATTTAAATAAAACAGATTTGAAATTGGATTTAAAAATCAGAATTAAAAAGCAATCAACCTAAGAAATCAGGATTCATTAATTTATTTCGTCATTGAATAAAAAAATATAATTATCAATCTGTGATTAACCCCAATTAAATTTGGAATCCTCAAATTCAATTGGAAACCCCTCTCTAGACAATCGCCTAGCGTTTGGTTGAATACAATATCTCAACTATGCGATCGCAGTAGTTTTGATCTGTTCAACTTATATTCATCGGGTAAATTAATCTGATCATTAAATCTAATGATCAATTTTCCCTTAGAGAATGCAATCGCATTGTTCAGTTTGAATATCTACAATTGCATGATATTCAACCTGAATTGGGAAAAAACGAAACTGATTTAAAAAGTTAAAAATATATCCTCTGAAATAAATTAACGAACCTTTTACCTTAAATCGATTAAAGATGTTTAGCCTAGCATCGCGAGGTTAAACATCATTTAAAATAATATAAAGAAGAAGAAGAAGATTAAAGGAAAAGAGTGCAGAATTTCGATAAAGAAAACTAAAAACAATTATTCAATTCCAAAATCTGACTACCGAAGGGTTTCCTAACGTTTCCCTTAAATAACCCACATTCAGAACGAGTTAGGGTTTCACCACTTCGGCCCATACATAAAATAAAAACTTAATAAAATAAAATAAAATATTAAAACATGGCCTTGGGCCCTAAACACATTGGGTTCTAATCTGATTTACAAGTCCAAACGTCAAAATAAAATTCCAGCAAAAATACGTCATCTTGGGCTCAGATTGCGACCATCTTCCCGTCTGAATTGAGCTTTCGTAGCTGAAATAGCGATTGTAGCCCTTTTTGTTAGCTACAAAAATCAACAAGAACAGAGTCAATCAGACATTTGTAGAGTGAGATATGTCCAAAATATGAAAGTAGTGTAAATTTGGAAAATTCTGACGAAAATCAATTAAACTCAATTAAAATCTAGAATTCTGATTTGACCCAAAAGACATATATTTAACTCAAATAAATCCTAAAAATACTAACCAAGAGTAATAAATAAGTGTAACAAAATATACGTTATCAATGATAATCATATAAAATGCATAACATACAAAATCACATAACACTAAGCTCACATCGAAGAACATCCACACAAGGATTCCGTTCAAGGACCCTATCATATAACTCCCTGGAAGCTTCTTGGTGTCTCTCCCATGGTTGAGACGACCCCATGGAAAAACCCAACTGGAATTCCTCAAGAGACCTATCCAGCGGAAGTCCCACGTTTGAATCATCCTGGTACCGCTCCCATAGACGGCCTCACGGCAAAACCCGACCGGAATCTCCCAAAGGGATATCTTCAGCGGAAGTCCAAACCACACACATTTACTGGCCAGAGATCACAGATATGTCACACAACATGCTCCAAGCACGTCACACAATCATGGCAATAATGCATGAAAATACAATTTCACACAATGTTATAGAGCACACAATCCAACCACTACCTTCCACTAGGTCTAGCAAACACACAAGGGGATAAATCCCAGTACCAAGAGTTTACCTCAACTCCGTAAGCAATGCTCCACAACGTAAGCTCCAAGCTTAGTCCACCTCTATCGAGTCCGTGAGAGGGAACCTATAACGATCAAACAAGGATCATGAATACAAATTCAAGGCAATCAATTCACTTTCAAAATACTAATGCCTCAATAGGTTGAATTGCTCATGCCCACCAACCTAGGGGTATTTAATCCAATTTCAAACTTCCACAAATCATACAATCCTATAATTAACGCATACAATTACTCCACAACTCAATTACACAATTACACAATTACACAACAGATTACTTTCACAAAGTATTGAATTTTCCACTTCAAATTTTCCTAAGTTAACCACCAATTTCACCAATAATTTTTATGGTTTCTAACACATTAAAACATCATTCTAAGCCACTTTTATCTAATACACATTTTTCATTTGAGCTCTCCAACTATATCAATCCATATACACAAGCTTTAGGTTACAAAATTCAATCCAAAGAAACCATGAATTGGAGGAGAATGCTTACCACCAATCAACTCCTAGACAACCCAATAAGGAGTTTCAACCCTTGAACGGTCCAAAATCGCCACCAACCACCACCAAAATCACCAAAATTGCCACCCCCTCTAGGAAAATGATCTCCCTTTCTACTCAATTTCGTGGCTCACTCAAGCAAGGAAATATGTTCACAAGGTGATTTGGAACAACTTTGATGTTCTACACTTTTGGATTTGAGTGAGATTTGAGTGAGTTTTGGTTGATTGAATATTTTGAAGCCAAGCTTCCTCTCCAACAATGGAGGTCGCAGGTAATGAGGAGAAAAGAGGAGAGAGAATCTGATTTTTGAGTCACCTTTGGCTTTCCACCCACTTAAAGTGGGTCCCACACGTCGTTTAACTCTCTTTAATCATCAAATTTAACCCACAAATTCATAACCTACGTATTTTTCTCGTTCATGTCATATTTTTTTTTTGATAACAATTCATGTCATATTTTTACATCTTAGAAATACTGATCATATTTTCGCACTTATCGGTACAATTATACCGTAATATTTTACACCAGTAAAATCGCTAATCATCAAATTTGTAGAAACTTGCCTAACCACTCAATTTTTCATTCTGAATCCATTTTCAGTGTTATTTTTCTCATTTGAGACCTACTATTAAAATTTTCTTTCCTAGGGTTACGTGTTTGGTAAATTATCATTTTAGCCTTCTTATGCAATTTAACCCTAATTTCAGGATTTTAACTAATCCTACCCTTTAAACCATATTTTCACATATAATAATACATTTACAAAATACGAGGTGTTATAATCAGTGTTAAGTTTAACAAACCCAAAGAAAGGAAACTCCCGGCGAACCAAATACGCCACTGGATGAGAGATGGAAGGGGAAAAAGACCCTAAGACATAAGCAAGAGTGCGCTTAATGACACCAGCAGAATGAGGCAGCGAAGGAGCCATCAATTGCAAATGAACAACGTTATTTCTCCAACACCAAACCTGAAAAATAAAAACAGCAAAAATAGATGACCAGTTATGGATATCTAGCTTTTTTGTAAACCAATAATCACGCAGCCAAGAACCGTGATTCACCGTGAAGAAGCCATCCTGGTGAATCAGAGGAATGGATTCGCACCATAATTCGCAGACAACTGCACAGTCCAAAAAAACATGGATAATAGACTCATCTTCACTCCTACAAATTGGGCAGAGGCTATCCCCATTAGACCACGAGGTAATCCACAATTTATTAGGTAACCTCCCGTAAGCTAACTTCCAAAGAAGAATTTTCATTCGAAGGGTACCAGGCCACTTCCAAATCTTACGCCAACACCAATCCTCCGAACCATCGTCCCAACCATTCTGCACCAAACCACTAAGCAAAATGCACAACCCCTTGACTGAAACTGAATCACCTAAAACCAACGACTACAACTTTCAATCTAGAAGGTCAATAGTCGAAGGGGGAAAGACACTTCTTGTAACCCCCCATTGTTCACCCGAAAACGTTAACATTACTTATGATATTAAGCGCAGCTACAATCACATTAGTTCAATTAAAACTATGGATAAACTTTTTCTTTTAAACATTGTTCATTTACTTTTTAAAACAAAACTGTATTTAATATAACAATAATCATAATTGTAACTAGGTAACATTCTCTAAACTAAGACCACTATACTTAACCATTAACTATAACCTTTACATTGTGATAAACTAGATGTCTAGGGCTTTCCGAAAAGATATTACAATAACCAATTGGTTAAGTATAGTCGGAGTTATTAAACTCGTGAGGTAGTTGACGAAACTGAACTCTCGGAATTGTAGCCTCAACTTCAATCCTAACCTGGTATTTATATACTCATCCAATGGATCTAATATTTTACAGGGTTATATCCTTATGTGTTAGCTTCACATAGGTTCAAACTTCACTCAATTTGAAGCTTTGTAGCTCAAGTTATCTCAATTTTACTAAACTACATTCGTGTTGAAATCGGGCAGCGCGCTGAGAGCGCGATCTTCGAACACATTTTTCACCCAGTAGCACGCTTGAGCGCTCTACTGGGCGCTTGAGCGCCTAGAGACAGAAAATTTGGCCATCTCCAGGTCTTCAGCACGCTTGAGTGTCCAAAGGCAGAGATTTTTTCTCTATTTCACGAACACAGTGTGCTGGAGCGCTCTTATCAGCGCTTGAGCACACTTCACCTAGGACAGACTTGATCTCCCCTATTTTTGGTGGTTCACTTGAAGGAGCTCCTCCATCCTTTCTCCAACTAATTGGTACCTAATTGATGAGGGATTTTCAACTGTGGTCACACACGATGAGGCTCTCACATTCTATATACATTTTAAAATGATAAAACTTAACTTCACATTCATCAATGTATCAATATCTCAATTACACCAATGTTCTTCAAAAATTTTATACAAGCCCAAAGACTTAGCTACCAAAACATGATCAAAACTATTAGCCATATACAACAAGGCAATTATCACAACAATGATCATGCACTGAGTCCTCCCAATATACATCTTATGGCCTCACAATTTACATATACATATGATGATACTAAATGGCATGCATATCCAAAATTACAACAGCAGCAACATGTATCAATCTGCATCTACTATGGAATAAACATCTCAATAAATTCAGGGTTCTTGTAGTATTCCTCCAACCCATGAGTTCACTTCCTGCATGAAAGGTTAGTATATACATGGCATGAACTACATCATATATCTAGAGGCAATAACAGTAATGATTTAACTGCAGTATACTCATGCATTCAAATGGCCAAACAATTAAACAATCAAATCATCACACACGCTTCAGTTGTATCTTAGTGATTTCCACTACGCATACAACCTGGCCCCTAGTTCTTGTCTATTGGCCCTTTCTCCAATGACACAACAATACTATAAGAATGCAAACATACCACAATACTAACATTACCACTCAATCATCCGTTCAATAACCATTACTTCCATAAAAGCAATGGTGGAACAACAAGAGGCATGAACCTGTAAGATCCAAAGGTTTACCTCTTGATGCTTCCTCTCCTTTGCAAACTTTCTTCAGCTCAAACACTAGGAATCACCACTTTCACACCAAGGAAATCTTTGATCTCCAATTATTCAAAAGACAAGGGTTACACACCAATGGCTTCACCAATAGGTTTTTCTCTAACAAAGTGTCATCAAACACATCTCTACATCATGAGCAACAAGAAAAATCATCAACAATCATCCAACATAATGATGAATTTTGTGGCACTATTCACCTCAAAACCCTAAATTCATAAATCATTATAAAACCATGAAATGGGATGGATTTACTCACCATGGAACATCACACAACCAAGAAGGAGATGATTCCTAAGCTCTCATGGCTTGAAAAACTCTAAAATTCCCCAAAATGAGATAAATCCTGAAATCTTTGAGGGAGGAGATCTCTCTCTATAGTGAGTCCCACATGAAAATGGTAGTAGGGATTTGTAGAGGATGAAATTTCAAGCAACTTTGGCTTTGGAGCAGATGGATTTAGTTGAGAGATGAGGGAGTTAGGGTTCCTTGATTTTTCTCCAATGGTTTCTCTCTCACTCTCCCTATTGCTCGACGAAGAAGAAGAAGAAATGAATAGGGTTCTGAGGTTTTTCAACTTACATATGTTAAGTTACTTTAATTGGGTAAAAACTTATCTATCTACTCACCTCCATTCAGTACCAAACTTTAACCAGTGAACTAGAATATTTTTCCACTCATATTTTTAACTTTATTTTTACATTTCGGGTAATTTTTCCTATACACATTTTTACCCCAAAAGTCTCACAAACTGCACTTTTAACTCAAAAGTGACCCTAATTTATTTATTTAAGCCTTTTACTTAATTCAATCCAATAATGCTTGATTACTTACTTACTCACATGCAATTTTCTAATTAAACAGGTTAGAGATATTATACTTCTGATATGTTGAATGAGATTAATAGGAAGCCAAGATGTATGCATCTCAATCTGCCACTTGCCAGAATCTGAAACATAGTCAGCAAGACATTTCAATTTCTCAAATAGAGGAAGATTTAAGGCTAAATCTCCAAGTTTCATATCATGAAATAACCAACTACCATTCCAATTGAAATTGTATTACCATCTCCCACCTGCCAGTAATCATGAAATTGAACCATGGCCCAAACATGGCATAAATGAGACTATAGCCGAGAACAACCATGAAAAGCGTAAATGTAAGACTACCATTAGTATCATAGATGGCATACTAGATTCTCCCCCACAATGAGTCCTCCTCAGAGTAAAGCCTCTATAACAGTTTACCTAAGAACGCTTCATTCATTACCACCCTTATTTCTCGGACGTTAGAGAATATCCCATCTTAAATGGTGAACAGTTCTGTGATCAGGCGTGTCTCCTTAGATAAAATTTCGAATAAGTTTCTCAATCTCCTTACAAACACCAACAGGTAACAAACCATGTTGCATGTGAAAGTAAGGAATCGAAGAAAGAACAGATTTAGCTAAGGTGATACGCCCAACTTGAGAAAAAGAAAGCCGTTGCCAATTGCGTAACTTGGAGGAAAGTTTATCAATGATGTGAACATAGTATTACTTGGTAGCACGACCATGAATCATCCAAGCTCCAAGATATCTCCCAATATTTTTGGTTAGCTTAAATCCACATCTAATTGTCAAAAGATCAGTGTAACACCCTGTATGCATCCGGATTGTTATCATATTACGGTATTAAGCGCAACTTAATTAAAATGTGGAAGCTAAAATAAAACCAGTTATTAGGCATGCAAGATCACTTTTTTCCTTTTTAACATAACAATATAAAATCCACATATATCCTTATGTAATTGCAAAACCACAAATAAAATCCTGAAATGCTTCAATATCATAAATAAATACTAAGTCATGAAGCTACATCACGTAGTCAAGACCAACGTCCATATCTCATGGCGTATACAAAACATACATGTCCAACAAAATAACAAATATCAAATAAGGCATGGACAACCCCCATAGTCACAACAATATAACATAAGCATAATAGTCATATCTTAGATACAACAATCATGTCCAAAATAAAAAAGCATGCATATAAATTAACTCTGCTCCGGCCTCTTGCCTCGGGAAGCATCCATTTCATGGACGTCTACACCTGAAAATGTGCCCCACACGGGGTGAGATCTCAGTAAGCAAGGGTTCTTGAAGAGTTCCTCCGCCCCAAGCTCACTTCGATATAACAGTTCAAAGATAACAGTTCAACAGTAATAACATAATCACACGATGCAACAACATATATATATATATATATATATATATATATATATATATATATATCATGCATGTGTGTTAACAAGTCTACTAGCCATAGAACACATGATTTACGCACGTCTACTACACGTATAAAGCATAGGGAACCTACCCTATACCCATACTGAGGGAATACCACTCTTGTGCAGCTCCACACTACACTCAAGTATTACCATCTTGTGTGTAATACACCACATAACATACTTATATAAGAGTGCACCATCTCATCAGCTCAAATAACAGATAAGCACATATACCATATAAAACTATCATTCCTCTCTTGGAGTATGGTGGAACAAATGGGATTAACCTTGAGAACACGGAACTTACCTGTCGAGTAGTATAATCAAGCTCAAAATCCAAACAGCAGCTCACAGATCACAAAACAGCAAAATCAAGGTCTATTCATAACAGAAATATCATCAACGCTCATGCTCTATAATTTCAAGTCAAAAGGAATACGTTTTCTTCCTCATTTAGCATACTACAGGCTTCTTCCAAAGCCCCTAAGCACAAACTAACTTGACCATTTTTAAAACTTCAGTTGCAGATCTTTACCAAAAATTCTAAGATTTTAATATATTAAACTAGACATCTCCAGTTTTCCAACGACATATTTTATGTCTCAATCAAAGTTATGTAACTCCGGTTATGAATTTTGCATAGTGACTGCTGCAAACTAAATTTCCAACAACCAAGTTACTACTTAAAACTAACACTGCGATCAAATCAATTATCCAATGGCTATGAAATTTTACGGAGTTGTAGCACTATGTGTTAGCTTCACATAGGTCCGAACCTCACTCAATTTGAAGCTCTATAGCTCGAGATATCGCGATTTTACCAAACTAGTGCGTTGTTGTCACATTTGCACTAGGTAATCGATTACCGTACAAGGGGTAATCGGTTACCATTCAATGTCTTTGTCTTTCATGAAGAACAAAAGGTGGCAGAAATGATAGGATGAGAGGCTATAGCTACATGGGTGTTATGAATTCTGACATAGGATTTAGTGCCAATAGCTATTTATAGGTGCATACACTTAAACTAACAATATTAGTTTAATTAGTTTCACTATTCTTTTAACTCTAAAATTTTATATTCTTAACCTAGACATTTTTCTAGAAATTATCATATTTTTACATTAAGTTTCGAGATATTTTATCAGTACGCATTTTACACATAGCCAGTATTAGTTCGGACATCACCGCTCATTATCTTTACTCAAAAATTGATATCCTTGGCCTAGATATTTTTATAGGAATATTTGTATTTTTATTATAATTTTTCGAAACACTTCACCAGTACAAATTTATACTGTGAAGTAGAACTGATATTCACACTTTTCATCATAAAGAGATTTAAGCATTATTTGACGTTCTCGATAATTATTATAATCTTTCTACATTTATCCAAAGTCAATTATGGAATTATTTCTTAAATTCATAATTAAATTATTTAAATTCTTAATTTAACGGTGCGAGTTCTTACAATCAGCAAGCTGCTGTGGAGTATTTTTAGAGAAAAAAATAGAGGTTTTAGATACATTAAGTTTCAGACCATAAATTTCTTCAAACAGAGAAATGCATTTAAGCACTACATCTAATTGCTCCATCGAAGCTTCTGCAAAAAGAAGTAGATCATCAGCAAATAATAAATGGGAAATACTAGGCCCATTATTACCCGCAGTAATTGGCTTCCACTACTTCCCTGCAACTGCTGATAAAATAATATGGGTAAGTTTCTCCATGGCCAGCACAAATAGGTAAGGGAAGAAAGGATCACCTTGGCGAAGGCCCCTAGTAGGGGTGAAATTACGAGTGAGCCCACCATTCCACAAGATATTAATACAAGAAGAAGTAACAGTACAGTCTCCGTGATAATAATGCGCAGATCCTCCAATAACCTCATCTCTTCTAGAACTTTCCTAAAAAATCCCTAGCTTAGGCGATCATAGGCTTTTTCTAAGTCAACTTTAATGTAAAAAAACCAGACTTCATTTTATGCATCTTATGAATCAATTCCTTGACAATAATAATATTATCATGAATCTGTCTCCCACGCACAAAACTAGCTTAAAACGGGGAGATTAAGTGCTTCATAATCGGTTGGAGTCAAGAGACAATTATTTTGCTAATAATTTATACACAATCGAACATAAAGAAATAGGCTTGAATTGACCGATCAAAGAAGGAACATTCACAATCGGTTGGATCCGAGAGACAATTATTTTGCTAATTATTTTGTTATTAAAATGTTTACTTATTGGTGCCATGCCCCTTTATTGTACCAAAAAAAAGTGTTTACTTGCTGTTTTTTTTTTTAAACATGTTTACTTATTGTCTGAAAGAACAAAATTAACAGCGAGACAAAAAGAAAAAGAAAAAAAGGGTGAGAGTATTTAACTTTTTTACATGAAATTTTGTAATTCGGCGTTTAGGTGTCCGTGGATTGCGGGAGTCCCACAACCTGTCCTTTGACACTGAAATATAGGCTTAATATCTGAAAATTATCTTAATAAAATAATTCAGTGCAATACTGATTATTTAAGTTCCTAATGGAGAGTTGGGTGCACTTGAGAGTTGAGTGCACTGCCCCTACCACACTAACTGCTTGGATGTGATTTTTTCATGATGTTAATGATTTAATCCAGAAGAGCCAATCTATTATATTTGCGAATCATATTATTTTAGGCTCTTCAGAATCGTAACTTGTAAGCATCCTTAAAATTGAATTTTAGTGAAGGTTGCAAGCTTTTCCACCTACTGCGAGAAACCTTTTTGTTGAGGCTTTAACCAATAAATGTCTGTTTTGGTGCGGTGGATAAATATGATAATTATAATTGAGCGAATACAGTTCAACCTCCTTATCTGAATTGACATATGCATTTTGCTTTTTTTTGTCGTTTACTTTCTTCAGTTTCTTGTACCAATCCAACATCTACTTAAATATAAGCACCTACGAATGTACCTTGGTTAGTTCCTATTATTTTTAATGCATGGAAATGCTAAGCTTTGACCCCGCTGGTACTATGTTGGTGCTTTGATAAACCTTCGTTTGGTATGTCAGTTCATTACTCATTCCTACCATAGTAGGAATAGAAAAAAGGCATGTTAACCAATGTTATTAAAGAATCGATGATCGACTCGGTGGAATCAATTAGTTAAATCACTAGTTCAATCATTTAAACCTAATATATATAAAGCATATAATGAATGAGTTCGTGTTTTAGTTATTTTAAATAACTTTAACGATGTCATTTTAGAACGAAAATCATAATGCGTTTGTAATTTTAATTTATTTCAGAATTAAAATAATTTTTATTATTCTAATTTTTTACCCCAAAACGATATCGTTTCGGTAAACATTAGACAAAGTTGTCTAAAGTAACGTTAAATACCTTTTTTCCATAAGCTATAATATAACTAACAACCTACTATGATTTAGTAGTTGGTGTTATAACATTTAGTGTCTGCATTCATCCAACATTTTTTACCAAAATTTCAAAACCGGATCAACTTAAAAAATCGATACTGGTTTACCTGCACAACCGATCCTCTAGCTGGAACAGACTGATTAAGGATTCATTTCCAAATTTAACAAACTTATCTTAGCATATAACCTATGGGAAAAAAAAATGACACATCTTATATCTTTTCACTCTCACAAAGAGGTGGAATCCACACATTTAAAACTTTTTTCACTCATTCTCTCTCATATATTTCAAAATGATATGAACCAAAGTTTTTTTTTTTTTTTTTTATGGTGCAGCCAAAAAAGTTTTTCTTCTTGATTTTTCTACATCCAGAATACCTCTAATTTCAGGTATCATAAAATTCAAACATAGAACAATAAAATATCTAACCGTCCATTGAATACTTATCGAAATCATTGGACGAAGGCCTAGCCGCCGAGGGGCTGATTTAATTTATATTGGCATCATTTGCCAATGCTCAACTTCGAATTACCCCGCATTTCAACACAGGAATATTACACTATATGTTGATTGCGCCACCAGATGGAAGTAAATGATACAATTTCTAGCCTCTAGTAACTAACAACAAAAGCAATACGATACTCTACATCCTCCATCGAACGAGTAACAAATGTTCAAGTGGAAAAGGAAAAATCATATATAAGCTACATACAAGATGAAATTCAAGCTTAGCATTACAGATGCAAAATCAGTGTTGCTAGCAGAGAACTATATCAGACAGGGAAAAAAGTAAATGAAATCCCTGCTTTCATGGAAATTACTTACAATGATAAAGTTTCTAAGCGGACTTATATACAAGGAGGCTGGCAAAATAGCACGGTTCATGCAAATTCTACGATCTGCTCAAAGGAGGATACAATAAAAGAGACAATAAGCATAAGTTTATCAAATAATACAATTAGCCAAAGGACGATGACGATCAGATTGAGCCGGCCACTATATATACTTTTCAAAATCACTAAAACCATTTTCATCTAGTCAAATTCCTAACCAGAAAGGAGGTTATATTAATTATCCAAGATATCAGTTCATCTAATTACCACTCATCTAACTTTGTCAGTCTGGATTGCAGTTGGTAATATTGTTCTGACTTGCTTTTTTTTAGTAGACTTCTGACTAACATTTTTGTTTCTCACTTTCTTCTGTTTTCTTCATTTCAAGCTCAAGCTGGTTGCAGTTTTCTTCATGGGCTTTGTTGAACATTCCAGTGAAGTTGAGCAAAGTTGTAACAACTGAAGAAAAGCCTTACAAGAATTAGCAGGAAACCACTATTTAATAGTATTATTACTGCTAGAGAAAATATTCATTTGTTGTTCCTCAACTAGACTGCATGACTTTTGTTAAGGAAAGAAAAAACAAGGGACATTTAGTGGTATTCATTTGTTTGGATACACAACATATATAGGAGGAAAATAATAATTACACAGATATCATATGCCGTATTTACTAGAAGTACATGATTAGGCTATTGCTTATGCAACGAACTTAGACACTATTTACATTAGCAATAGTGCTCCTAATGTTGGAGCATATAGGTTATATGCAACACGCTTGTTAATTTATGTGGGAATCGCTCAAAGCCTTATGAAGATATTTTCCAGTTGATCATTTGGGTGGTCAATGCTAGTGGTGATGTCTCCAAATAGTATTTTCACTAATGAGGTGACACTGGATCTCAATATGTTAGTCCTCTCAAGAAATACTGGATTGGAGGGAATGTGCAACAATGGATCTCAATATGTTAGTGGCTCTATGATTTGGTAGAAGTTAGTGTTTGAATCCACAGAAGTGTAAATGACTTTGCATTCAATAGACCAATTTCCTCAAGAATGTCAATGACATATCTTCTGTGAAATTATGATACTGTCCTTAGATTATGCCACCTATATTCCTAAGAAGTATTGAAGTTTGCCTAGATTTTTGGTCCAAAAGTTATAACCAAGATATTATTATATCTAAATGATACCATAATGACCACTGCCAATCATTATAATATTATTGACATATACAATCAAATAAATACATGCTTGAGCTGAATGAAAAAGTAATACTGAGTGGTTAGCTTCACTCCATGCTGTACCAAACTGTTGAACTGCAATGCTAATTCAACCAAACCAAATCTAAGGAGACTGCTTAAGAACACAATGATTTGTGATGACAAACCATGCAAGCAGACTCTCTTTAAGCAATAAATCCTAATGGTTCTCTATATAAAATTCTAAAATAAAATCACCTGGAGGAAAGCATTTTTTGTGTCCAACTAATCTTGGGGCTAGTGGCGAATAATAGCTATAGATAGACATTAATAGAAGCCATCTTCACTACAGGTAAGGTGTCCTCTCATAATCTAGGCTAAAAATCTGGGTATACCATTTAGCCACCAGATGAGCCTTGAGGTGATCAATCTTGCAATCAAGGCTTAACAGTAAATATTCACCAACAACCAACAATGTAACTTACAGTTGGGGGAACCAATTCCTAAGTGCCACTGCTCTCAAGTGTATTCATCTCATCAATCATAGCCTATCTCCACCCAAGATTGGATAATGCTTCTACTGTATTAAGGACCTTTTAGAGATTGAAGGAAAGATTGCCTAGAGATTTAGGACCTCCTTATGATGAAAGTGCTTTTGTGATGTCAAAAATTCCATAATTCTACTTGAAGATGATGATGTCAAAGTGCTGAAGCTGAAGTATAAAGTGAAGCTTCAAAGTGATCATCTAGTGAAGACACTTGAATATAAAATAATATGTTGTGTATTAAGATAATACAAAGAATTACAATATATAGAGACCCTAATGGGCTTAAGTGAGAAGTCCAGATCTAATCCAAAAAGAATATTTACAGATAAGAAAGTAATTTATACAAATCTAATCTATATAAATCTAAACCAAATCTATATATCTAATATTTCCTATTCTAACACTCCCCCTCAAGCTGGTGTGTATATATTGTGAGCACCAAGCTTGCTACAAATGTATTCAACCCGAGGACCTCTAAGAGCTTTAGCGAAGACATCCGCTAATTGATCATTAGAGTTGACAAAAGCTGTTTTGATTTCTCCTGACTGAATCCTTTCTCGAATGAAGTGACAATCAAGCTCTATATGTTTGGTTCTCTCATGAAATACAGGATTAGAGGATATATGTAGTGCAACTTGATTATCAAAAATGAGTGTCATGGGTTGTTTCTGTTCACAAAGATGAAGCTCCTGAATCAACTGCTTTAACCAGATTAACTCACAGGTAGTAATTGCCATTGCACGATACTCAGCTTCTGCACTAGATCGAGCAACAATAGGTTCTTTCTTGCTCTTCCAAGAAATTAAGTTTCCTCCAAAGAAAACATAATAGCTGGAAGTAGAGCGCCTGTCTGAGGGTGATCCTGCCCAATCAACATCTGAATAACCACAAATTTCTGTATTTCCCTGATCCGAATACAACAAACCTTTTCCTGGTGCTCCTTTGATGTATCGGAGGATCCTCACAGCAGCATCCCAATGAGAATCACAAGGGGAATCAAGGAACTGACTAGCCGTACTAACAGCGAAAGAAATGTCTTGCCTAGTCACAGTAAGATAATTGAGCTTCCCAATTAGCCTCTGATAGATAACGGCTCCCCCTGTTCGGGCAATAACTTGACATTGGGATCCATGGGTGTATCAACTAGTTTACACCCCAACATACCAGTTTCTTCTAGGATATCCAAGGCATACTTCCTTTGACAGATAGAAATGCCTTGTCTAGATTGTGCCACCTCAATTCCCAAGAAGTAACGCAGCTTCCCAAGGTCCTTTGTTTGAAATTGACTGAATAAATGCTGTTTTAACTAACGAATTCCAGCTTGATCACTTCCGGTGAGAATGATGTCATCAACATAGACTAACAAATAGATGCACTTATCAGGAGATGTGATCCTATAAAATACAGAATGGTCAACTTTACTTCGGATTAAGCCAAACGCCTGAACAGTAGAACTGATGCGACTGAACCATGCCTGAGGAGACTGCTTGAGACCATATAAGGATTTGCGAAGATGACAGACCTTCCCAGACTCCCCCTGAGCAACAAAACCAGGTGGTTGCTCCATGTAAACTTCTTGTAAATCACCATGAAGAAAGACATTTTTTATGTCAAGTTGAAGGAGTGGCCAGTGACGAACAGAAGCAAGAGCAAGAAACAAGTGAACCGATGCCATCTTAGCGACCAGAGAGAATGTGTCGCTATAACCGAGGCCAAAGATTTGAGTAAAACCCTTTGCAACTAAGCGTGCCTTGAGACAATCAACATGGCAATCAGGTTCAACTTTCACAGTAAAAACCCAGCGACAACCAACTATAGACTTCTCTGGAGGAGCAGAAACAAGGTCCCAAGTGCCATTGGAATGAAGTGCAGTCATCTCATTAAGCATCGCTTGGTGCCACCCTGGATGGGAAAGTGCTTCACCTGTTGTTTTAGGAATAGAAACAGAAGAAAGACTAGAAACAAAGGTGAAATGAGGAGGAGAAAGACGGTCATAGCTCAAAAAGGTATAAAGAGGATAAGGGTTACGAGTAGTACGCGTACCTTTTCTTTGAGCAATGGGAAGAGCCTCTGGTGAAGGAGCCGGAGGGGAAGAATCAACAAGAGGGGGCGATGAGTCAGCCAGAGTCAAGTTGACAGGAGGCACATTTTTATGACGCTGATAGGTGAGAAATGGACGGTCCTCAGGTATAGAAGCAATAAGTTGCTCATTTGGAATAGAGTTACCTGCAGCTGACAAAGACAAGTCAAGAAAAGGAACAGGAAGAATATGATCAACTTGTGAAAATTGAGATAGGATAGAACTAAAGGGTTGTTGATCTAGAAAAGTGACATTAGCAAAAACAAAGTAACGCTTAAGATCATGAGAATAACAACGATAACCCTTTTGAAGACGAGAATAACCAAGAAAAATATACTTCAAGTTTGGATGTTAACTTGTCCTTACTAGGAGTGAGATCATGAACAAAACAGGTACAACCAAAGACATGTGAGGATAGAGGATAGAGAGGAACATCTGGAAGCAACAAGTTATAAGGAATGTCATTATTAAGCACAGATGAAGGCACACAGTTAATGAGAAAACAAGAGGCAAGGACTGCATCTGCCTAGAAGTGAAGAGGAACATGCATGTGAATAAGAAGCGTCCGTTCAATTTCAATGAGATGTCTATTATTACGTTCAGCTACTCCATTTTGTTGTGGAGTGTGAGGACAAGTAGTCCGGTGTAAAGTATCCTGTGCGGCTAAGAAATTAGAAAAGTCAATAGAAACATATTTCTTAGCATTATCACTACGTAAAATATGAATAGAAGAACCAAATTGAGTATGAATTTCAGCAGAGAATTTTTGATAAATAGAAAATAACTCAGAATGGTTTTTTATTAAATAAATCCAAGTACAACGTGAAAAATCATCAATAAAGGTAACAAAATATCGAAACTCTAAAACAGACACACTACGACTTGGACCCCAATATCTGAATGAATGATTGAAAAAGGAGCACCAGCTCATTTATTGACTCGATTGGCAAAGGAGGAACGTATGTGCTTCCCTTCCTGACATGACTGACAATCTAAAGTCTGAAGACCAGATAAAAGAGGAACCTTCTATAATTTTGAAAGACTAGGATGACCGAGGAGACTGTGGATGAGTTGTGGAGATTCTGTGAGAGAACAAGCAACTGAAGGACTCAGAACGACCAGGTAGAACAGACCCCGTGACTCACGGCCCACTCCAATCGTCTTCCCCGTACCCGGATCCTGCACAGAAACAGAATGATTTGAGAAGGTAACAATACAATTAAGAGAGCTGATCAATTTACTAACAGAAATTAAGTTATAAGGGATGTCAGGAATGTAATAGACAGATGTCAAGGTCAATGAGGAGGTTGGACAAATTTGTCCAATCCCATGAACAAGTGCTTTAGTGCCATCAGCAAGAGTAAAAAAGGGTAAATTATCAGAATAAGTAAGAGATGAAAAGAGTTCCTTATTACCACAAAGGTGATCAGTAGCACCTGAGTCAAATATCCAAAGACCAAGTGATGCAGAATAAGAAACACAAGCAACGAGATTACCAGTTTTTGAAGCAGAGGGCTGAGACAGAGGAGAGGCCTTCCTGAGAAGGGTTTGGAATGCTGCATAGTCTTCAAAGGAGAGAGAGACTGTACCAGTTGAAGCAGTATCCGATTGAGCTATATTAGCAGCATG